AACGTGTCGGGTCCAAGCCACCCCGAAATGCCGTAAGAGGGGCATGCCAGTGTAATCCGGCTCTCTGAGCACCAGAACGTGAATAAATGCATCCTGGAGGGGCTTTCTGACGACAAGAAAAAAAACAAGTGAACATGATGTTTGACAATTTTCGAAATTAAACCACCGCCAGGGGAGCGTGCAAGTGTGAACCAGCTCTCATAGTGCCAGATTGCGAACAAGTACATCTTTATGGGGCGCCCGGCATAATGAAAAACAGCCTTTTGTGAGAACATGATGTTTTACACTTTGCAAAGTTGGTTCCTTTTCAAGTGACTGGAAATACGCGGCACAATGTGGGGCTGATGCCTTGGTTCTAGGTTCCTTTTTTACGAGCCTGGACATACGCAGCACAATGTGGGGCTGATGCCTTGGTTCCAAGGGTGCGAAACGAGCGATATACAGTGGTGGGGCTCAATGTCCAAAGTGTGGCAGGTTAACCTTTTTATTTTTGTTTTTTTTTAATTAAAGAACACCCCTCCAAGGGTGCTAGGAGTGGTGATATGAGCGCCCACTCCTAACACCTTGGTTTGGGATGCCAGTCTTATTGGTGAGGAGTGTCACCTGCTGGAAATCGGGTCCAGCGGGAACATACTTTCTGCAAGCCTTGGCAGGTTAAACCACCAGTACATGGCCGATACATTGGCCGCAGGGCGTTGTCGCTAACGCCCTGCAACTTCCGGAGGCGCGGGGTACCGGCCCTCAAAGACTGGCGCCGCCAGCCAAAACAATTTCGTCATCGATAGCTGGCGGGTCGGCGCGAAATGGCACGCAGCCCATTTTCAGGCTTGGCACCTATAGCTGGAGCAAGTACTGGTGGTTTAACCTGGAAACATACGCTGACAGGCATTGGAGCAAACTAATTCTTTTTCTGTTCTCAGAGGGATGTGGGGTTGTAGCACGGACAAATCCTCCTCTTGGCAAAGATGCCTCTAGGCATAGACATTCTTCTACAAGTCCAAGAGGTCTCCCCAAGTCGTCATATTGTTCATTATATATCTCTGCAATTGCAACCTAGAGGATCTAGCCTATTATCAGTAGATGTACGGCCCCATCCCCCCCTCTACCCATAGACGTTGCCCTAGACCACTATCTGATCGTTGTGGTTGTAATCTGGACGGACCCTACCCTCTGTCATTAGTGAGTCTGCGGGCAACATCTGCCCCTCGGGTCATTGTATTGCCTGAGCAGCTTAGTCTAGAGCTTCTCATACAATATAACGAATTCGAAGGGGCCGAGGTCATGACCGAGGAGAGGAAAAACTGATGGTGGCCACAGACTCACAGTGACTGATGGCAGAGGCTAGGGTCCCTCCAGACTCCAGAGTCTAGGGCTGCTCAGACAATATAACAACTGGAGGGTCCTAGTTCATCACCGAGGTGAGGATATGGATGGTGGCTGCAGACTCACTAATGACAGAGGCTAGGGTCCCCCCAAATTACCACCAAAATGATGTGACAACCAAACAAAACGATCTCAAGGTCCCACAGTGACCTTGTTTCCAGCGGATGAAGCTTCCCACCAGTAGACAGGAACCATTGAGGAATGCTCATATCACCCTCAGTAGTAACCCGAGCTGGTGTGAAAAAAAAAAAAAAAAAACACGTTTTGAAGGTAATGGCTGATGTCATTCTCCACTTACTTCATGGATGGAACGTCGACGATTCCGAGAAACTTCGTCATGTACCGCGGAGCCCTCCGTTTTTGCACACGATAGAAACAAACTCGGGGATCGTACTGATAACGAGGGGCCCCCGACATGGGTGCCACCTGCGCATAGAGGTATTCCCTCCCTTGAGGGCGCATGTCCACAAGCTGGCGCACCAGTAGTCACGCACACCACAAGCGCAATCACACATATATTAGCAAGTAAACCCTTCATGCTGTTTCATACAAGCAGTAGTTGCAATGGCCTACTCAAAGTAGCACTTTCTTAAATGTATCTGACCGCATTTATGACTGCACCTGTATGCATCTGACCGCAATTTCGTCCCGGATCTGACCGCAATTTCGTCCCGGATAAGTAAAAAGGTGCTAGTGTGAGTATGCCCTCAGATAGGCCCGTTGGTGCCAGCAAACTCTTTTATTGAGTCTTCTTTTTTTTCCATCGAGTCTCTGACTTGCCATCAATAATTAAAAACAAAAGGGAAAATGACATGTGTGCCCCATTTAAAGATGGGAATACCTGCTATACCCAACCCTGGTGTCCAACTTGCATCATTACCCGCAAAATTGTCTGTGCAAATTATTTGTATACACAGGATGGAGGAGGGCCAAGGTTGGTACCGCTAAATTGCAGTTATACCCAACTACCGCAATGCTAATTATGCACATACCCAGGCAAATTATGTGCATACCCAATTTTGCCTGCCCAGTTCCTGGGCATAAGCGTAATTTTGTGCTCCCCAACCAAGGGCCTGTGGTACTGGGTAAGGGTATAAGTTGGCACACAGGAAAAGTAGGGTAGTACCTGAAGTTGGACAGGGTCTGGGTATAGATGCAAGTCGGGCGCTCGACTGGTTATAGCGAGTATTGCCATCTTTAAGTGGGGTACAGATGCAATTTTCCCAAAACAAAAAAGAAATCCAGCGTCCTTTTTTTTTTTTTTTTTTTTTTTGGAAAACAACCCGAGTAAATGCTAGGGGTGCTGATAAGAGCAGACACCGCTAGCATACTCAGGGAGGCTCCATCTATTGGTGGGGAGCAACACCTGCTGGAAACCGGGTCCAACGTCCCTTGACATTTAGAATTGAGTGGTCTGCACACAAACAGGGCTCAAGTTAACATGCCACGTGTCCATCGTACTAAAAACATGAGTGGTCACCTAAAGCGACACGTAGGCACACTCCATTGACTGATGAGCAGCATTGATTGCCCTCAATCGAGGGGATTAACTGCCCATCATAATCCAAATCAAATCCCTACTCTGAAACCCTCATCAGCTGCCAACAAACCCTTGCAGTGCCATGAGGAGGACAGGCATTCAGAATAGGAAGTTAGAAAGTTAGAAAGTCAATTATAGCGGATCCCAAAATCATTACAAAGTCATTACCTACCCTGGATAGCTCTTGAGATACTAAATCAGAGAAGGCAGTCAAGTCAGATGATATGCCAGTTATAGCGCCCTCCTCTAGATAGCACAGATGGGTAAATGCGGCCGCTGTCCTACCCTGCGACCCTCCCACCCGGATCCCACCGAACTCGCCGGCACGAACAGCTCATGAACATGCAGAGAGTGATCCCCTCCCCAAAAGGCCAACCTCCACTGAATATGACAAAAATCGTGAAGGAGCCCGCTGCACCCAGCGACCACTCCCATCCGAATCGCTGCTGTAAATGTTGACACCGCAGCTGGCAAATTGGTCGTTATTATCGGTGGCTACGACCTGAATGACTTGGATGCGCAAGTCATCGCCATCATCACGAAGATCAGAGTCGTCGCCGTTATTATTGTTGTTGTTGTTGTTATTGATGTTGTTATTTTTGTCGTCGTTGCTGTAGTTGTTGTTATCACCACAATCATTGTTATCGTCGTTGTTGTTTTTGCTTTCGTCACTGTTGTTGTTGTTGTTGAGATCGACGGCAAAACAGGTGAGATTGTCATTGTCTTTGCGGTCGACGTTGGGGTTGATGCTGTTGGCGTCTTCCGTGGTGTCGTCATCGGCATCATTTTAGCGGTCCTCCAGCGTAGCGCAAAGACCTTGCCCCTCCTCAAGCTTGTCGTAGTAGTGCCGCATCAAGTTGTCCGGTCGTGGAGAGCCTGTAATAGCATCCAGGTGTGGGGGCGCCCCCTCCTCCAACCCCCATGTAACCTCCAGCAAACACTGCCGCATACTGTGGATCCATGAGATTGACGGTACTTTCCTTGCAGCAGCAGCCGATCTCAGCTTCGCCACCACCTGGCTTACACACTCACTGCCCGCTTGAACAGTAGCAAGCCACGCATGAACTCCTAGTTCCCGCGAACGCGCCATCACCAATCAGTTCTCACCCCTACATGTATTTCACCCCACGTCACTCACCCCTACGCACACCTAGTAACTTCCCTCCTTACTGACCTCGCCCTCCCAAGAGGTCCAACGATAACACGCCACGTGGCGGGCAATCGTTCAGTTCAGAGGCCACGTCAGATGACGAAGGCACCGTCCTGACGTGTCGCGTGAAGAGCAGGCCGGGCCGTGCCGGCCGGTCCCCAGCGGGGGACCAAGGTGCAAGAGGTCCGTATCGCAGCGCCGGCGACCGCAACTGTCTATCCAGCGTCCTATCTCAGTTAGGCACACAAGTGGCATTCAGGAGGTTGTGGGATCAAGCCCCATAACCGCCTGTGCCGCACTTAGTGCCAACCAGCTGTGATAGTCCCCTTGATACCTCTCAACGGTATTAGTAGGGTCTTTGGCCGACACGGGTGTGAGTGCTAGTGTGAGTGGGTTGTGTGTGATGTGTGGGAGAGTGTTGGCCTTAGACACTACTGCTGTTCGATTGGGGAGGGGGACGATGAAAAGGGAGGTGCAGCTACTGGCAAAGTGCTTGGTCATGCGTTAGCCGGACCCCCACCGGCGGCCTCACCCCATCTCTGACTACCACTGTTGGGGCGGGGGCCAACATGCAATCCCTCATTGTGAGGTAGCTATGCTTGCAGAGGTCCCTTCGCTATAGCCTTATAACAAGTGGTAGGTAGGCTACATAGGGAAAGGCAAACAGAATTTGAGAGAAGAATATAGTGCAGTTCTTAAACCACCACCACCTTTCTTGTACATCCGCGGTGGGGAGGGTCCCTGATTATTTCAGCCTCTGGTGAAATTTATCAACGGCGGCCTGCCAGTGGGACCAGTCCCCGAAGAATGTGGTATATGTTATATTCCCACTTTTCCCAACACTGCGCTTCAACTAGGGCTGGGAGGGTTGTCCTGGCCTAGCGCTGGTGCCTGCAATGCTGTCAGATATACCAAAGGTAAGGGTCAACAGTGTCCCCCGTAGATGGAGAAGCAGGGGTTGTGCTAAGGAAGAAGAACGTTGAGGTAGGACTGGGGTGGTTCCTATGAGCACCCAAAAAGAAAAAAGGAAAAAAGAAAAAGAAAAAAGAAAGGTAGTGTCGGCTTAAAGAAAAAGAAAAAGAAAAAACGGAACAAAGAAACAGCGTATGGAGTCTATGGACTGAGTGTAGGGATGATCCTATCGTTCTTTTGGATGGTAACTACGGCGCAGTAACTGAGTGTAGGGATGATCCTATCGTTCTTTTGGAAGGTACCACTTGCACAGAAAAGGAAAAGGGGGTAACTAGGGTGCAGTCATGAGTTCAGTTTGAAATCCAGTTCCGGCATCCCTCGAATACAACATATCCCCACCCGACCCTAAAGCTAGGTTGTAGACATTCACGATTTTCCTCGGTTTGGCACAACATTCATTCACGAAATCGCGACTGAAGCGGATTTTCAAACTGAAACTGTGACAGCAACCTAGTTTTTCCACAACAAAAAAGGTCCAAGTTGCACTGATCAAGACATGCTGGGCACTGGTCTTAGTTATCTACACCATTATCTACTACAGTCTTCCCGGAAATAGAACGCCCAGTGGTCATTATCGATTTATCTAGATTGAGAGTTGCAGCGAAAACAGCTATACTGATAGGGCAATTCGAGCGAAGATGGTAGCCTGTGCACGTGAGACCTTGGACCGGACCTCGCCACCCCCCTCACCAAACGTGAAAAAACTTCGGGGTGTATCTTCCCAGAGAAGTTGGGAAAGATGCATTCATTACTATGAATAGCACTGGGGGAAGCCTAATGAATTAGCATGGCCCCTGCACAAGCATGACACATAAAAACCGATATATCGTCAAATAGAATATTGACGATATATATATATAGTTCAGCCTCCTGATGAGTCGGTGAAACTCCGACGAAACAGTTTGTCACAGCCCCTCGTTTGTTGTCCTCTTCTCCCTCTCTGCCTACGGTTTACCGGGCAGTTCTATTTGACGATATATAACGATATATATATATATCGTTATATCGTTATATATCGTCAAATAGAACTGCCCGGTAAACCGTAGGCAGAGAGGGAGAAGAGGACAACAAACGAGGGGCTGTGACAAACTGTTTCGTCGGAGTTTCACCGACTCGTCAGGAGGCTGAAAGATATATATATATATCGTCAAATAGAACTGTATATATATATATATCGTCACAAACAGAACTGCCCGGTAAACCGTAGGCAGAGAGAGAGTATATCATTATATTAACTTTTATATATATATATATATCGTCACAAACAGAACTGTCGGTAAAACCGTAGGCAGAGAGGGAGAAGAGGACAACAAACGAGGGGCTGTGACAAACTGTTTCGTCGGAGTTTCACCGACTCATCAGGAGGCTGAACCCTCAACAGTCTGTAGAATCCCCTCACTGATTACACTGTAAGTGATAATATATATATATATATATCGTCACAAACAGAACTGCCCGGTAAAACCGTAGGCAGAGAGAGAGAAGAGGAATATATATATATCGTCACAAACAGAACTGCCCAGTAAACCGTAGGCAGAGAGAGAGAAGAGGACAATATATATCGTAAAACAGAGCTACCCGGTAAACAGTCGACAAACAGGGAGAAAAGGACAACAAACGAGGGGGTGTAGCAAACTATTTCGTCAGAGTTTACATATATATATATATATATCGTCACAAACAGAAAACTGTCCGGTAAACCGTAGGCAGAGAGAGAGAAGAGGACAACAAACGAGGGGCTGTGACAAACTGTTTCGTCGGAGTTTCACCAACTCATCAGGAGGCTGAACCCTCAACAGTCTGCAGAATCCCCTCACTGATTACACTGTAAATGATAAT